AACCACAACTCCACCTCCATCCCCTCAACTTCTTCCAAATTCACCAATAGCCACACCCAAGAAAACTCCATCCCCTAAGAAGTCATCCTCACCTAAACAACCATCACCCTGCCATCAGATAACCCCCATCAGAAGCCGCTCACCTTCACCTCCTCCTTCACCCCAACATCAGAATACCCCCGCTCTACAAGCTCAACCTCATCAGAGCTCAGCCAATCAGAGATCCAAGTCTGCTCCTCATCAGAAATCCTCCAAACCTCTCTCTCCACAACATTCTGCAGCCTCCACTCAGAAAAGAGAGCCAGTTGTAAGGATTCTTTCCTCAACTGAAGACAATGATGGCTTTCTCACAGCTTCAATGGCTGGTGATCTTCAATCTGCCAAGAGAAAGACACCTACTCCTCCTCCATCTCCTGCTCAACAACCGCAGGTCAATCATATACCTCAGCCAGAACCTCCAAAAGCTGTCCTCATCCCCTTCCAGGAGTTTGTGGAATCAGCTGAAGAATTTGGAGACCAGATGATTGCTGGGATCAACAAAATGCTTGTACTAAATCAGAAGCATGATGCTCATCTGGATTTAGTTCAGTACAACATTGAATCTGAACTCACCAAAATATCAACCTCTCTTTCTACACTGGCAACAACATTCCTCAGTTACATGAAGACATCAAATGAGAAGGTTGATAACATAGCTTCAGAGGTTGCTAGTCTACACACAGTCTTGTTCTCACAATCTCAGACTCTGACAGCACAGGACAAGGCCATTCAAGAATTATCTGATGCTGTTGACACTCTACAATGGTCTCATGACAAAAATGCAGAGCATCTGACAGATGTGGAGGAAATCTGCAAGACCAACAAAGAATTTAGTCTCAAATTGATCAACACTGGCAAGGACAGAGATCACAAGTTGACTCTCCTTGAGGCTACTACTAAGGATATCCAATCTGCAGTTGATAAGCAGAAAGAGCTGATAGAAGGGCTGGCCTCGGTGACTCAGACACTCCCAGGTGCCCTAGAAGCGATCAAAGACAATAATGCTACAGAGTTCTCCAAAATTGGACTCCTACTTGGCGACCTTGTTGATGCCAAAAAGGGGGAAGAAATCAGAGAACCTGCTAGAGCCATCAGAGCTGCAGAAGGAACTAGCACCAGAACTGCTGATCCTGCTGAGTATTTTGAAAGGGCAAAGCAAAAGAGGATTGCTGCTGGTATTCAGAGACCAACTCCTCCAAGATCAAAGAAAGGAAATAAGACAGCCTCCACTTTCACTTTGGCCCAATGGCTCAACAGTGACTTGGCTAAACCTGATGCTGCTCAATTCAGAGAAATGAAGAAGCATATGACCCCTATTCAACAAGAGAATCTCATTCTGGATAAAGATGAGCTAATAATAATTAACCATGGTGGGTCAATGCAAGAAGCAGAAGACTGGTGGCGAATGAAAGTGATCCCTGGCAAGGACCTATCAGAAGCCATCAGAAATTATCTTGACTGCAAGCTTGCACCTGCCTGGTCAGAATATCAAAATCCCAGGAACCTTGCTACAATCAGAGCAAGAATAAATGCTGATCTGAAGGAAATTGAGGCAAAGGAAGCTCAACTAGAAGAGGAAGATTTCTAAACTCTATCCTATTGTTGCTTTAAATACTCTTCCTTAATAAGATAACCAGCTTGCCTCTATTTGCATGGCAATTTCAAATATTTGCATTCTAATTATTTATGCTCTGATATCTTGTGTTATTTCTTATTTTGCTTATCTGATTGATTGTATCCTACTCTTACTATTTTCCTATGCCAAGTGCCCACCAAGATTCTAAATGAAAGTTTATTTTTAACTTATTTTCCTTCATGGTGGAAGGCACTTCTCTGAAAATAGTTTAAGGGTTTTGGCATCATCAAAAAGGGGGAAATTGTAAGGAATAAATGTAATTAGATTTTGATGGTGCTATAGGATTAGAAAGTTAGAGTACCCCCAATTAGATTTTATGTATTAGAATTTTCATTTGTAAGTATTAGTGTAGTCGACGATCAGAGTTGCTCTGTTTTGGATCAGATCAGAAGTGCATCAGAACTGCTCGACCAGACTTGCTCTATGAGAACTGCTCCATCAGAGTTCTCTTACCAGAAGTCCATCAGAGTTGCACCATGAGAGTTGCTGATAAACTTGGACATCTGATAACCGATGAGAGTTACAGATCAGAGGTACTCATCAGCGGACCTATCAGAGTCAGAGTTAGAGTTCAGTCAGAGATCAGAAAGCCATCAGAACTCAACTCATCAGTAAGCCATCAGAATCCAACACATCAGAAGAGCCTGATCAGAGCCCGACTAACACTTAGAAGATTTCAAGCAACATTCAACAGCTATGAATCCAACGGGTAAAAACATCCAACGGCTAGAAGACTGTGCATGAAAGGAAAGCATTTAATGCACATTAAATGAGCCTGATACGCTGAAGGATTGATTGCAAATGATTGACCAAGGAATCCGGGAAGATATATTATAAAAATAGAAACCTTCCAAAACGGCGGTCAAGTCAACTGTACGCGCATTTAATGCAGTTGTCTCCTCCTCCAACGGGCAGACAACCTCAGTATATAAGCTACTCACCGAAGAACAGGAAAAAGAACTCTTCGCAGAACCTTGCTAAAACTTTTGCTCCATTCATTACTCTGAACATACTTCTTGAGATTCAACCTTCATAACACTACAAGAAAAGTCCTACGTTGGGAAGATTCAAACTCCAAATCTTTCATCCCCAACAACGAGCAAAGTTCATCCTGTTCTTCAACACTTCAAGATCTTCATAACACATCAATTGTGACGAAGCAAGTTGGAGGAAAAACTTTGTTTTTCAAAGGATCTTCTGCAAAGAAGGGCGTCCAAGTAACTGCAGTAGTGAAGTGGTGATACTTCCGGGAAGCTGAGTGAAAGGACCAGCCATCAGGACGTGGAATTGCATCCTGGGTGGCATCTAGACTTGAAGAAGACGAGGAGTGCTTCTTAAGTGCTAGGAATTAGCTTTGTAACCGATCTACTTCAAAGCTAGTGGAACAGTGGACTAGAGGAACGCGTTGTTCCTTGAACCACTATAAAAATATCCGGTGTCATTTATTTTACTGCAATTTATACTTCTGCACTTAGGACATTAACTGATTAACTCTAAGACTTGGAATCTGTGTTCAGCAGATCTTGTTTTCAGAGTTATCAGAAAGGCATTTGCCTTAGTATTTCTGAGGCTACCCGGACAGATCAGAATCCGCTGTCAAGGCCGGTTCTGATATCAGAACCAGCCCTCCTCTGTTACCAGAGTAAGACCTTCTCTGATAAGTCAGTTTGGACTTAGAGAAAAATTTTGAAAAACCAATCAGTCTATTCACCCCCCCCCCCCCCCTTCTAGACTGATTACCATATTAATCGGGACCAACAATATCCAATTCATCGAGGGTAGTTATTAACAACGACCATTCATTAATAACCCTTACTATTAGTCAAGTATAGAACACCGCCATATACCGACTTGATAGTAGCATTTAATCTCTTAACTCCTTGATGAAACCAATTGAGATTGATAACCTCAACACAACGGTTTCGGTTTAACCAACAAAATTAATCCCTCTTAAGTTTATTAACCACGACCGTGCATTAGTAAACCGAAGTTACTTACTTGTGAAACCATCAGCGATTAAGTAATGTTCAAAATATTAATATGAAATATGAATAGGGATTAATTAATAATCAAGGAAGAATATTAAAGAAGATGAATCCTACTATAGTTAATATCAAGATGTTAACTAATTGTCATCTTAGTAACACTCCCCAATATTAACATAGAGGAAGAAATAACTATTACTATAACTAATGTCAAGATGTTAACTAATTGTCATCTTAGTAACACTCCCCAACATTGATATAGAAATAGTATTTAAAGGAAGAATTAATATTCAAGGAAAGAAGTTAAGAAAATAACTCACAACTTTAATAATCAACAAGCTTCAAGAGCAACACCAAGAAATGGAAGTTTAGCTCCTCATTTGGAGACTAAACATGCTATAAAAATATAAAAGAAATACTATTCTAAACTGAGCTTAAGAGTATGGAAGAAGGAATGATTTTTTTGTGAAGGAAAAGGGGTGTATTTATAGGTGTTTGGAGGTAGCAGGGTTGTGTACCCGATCGGGTATATATGTTACCCGATCGGGTATTTTAGGCAGTTTCCCGGAAAATCACTTTTCTAGACATACCGGGTCGGGTATGTAGGCATACCCGGTCGGGTATGAGCCAAATCTTCAAAATCCTGCACGTTTTTTTGTCTCTCCAGATTCTGATTTTGACACCTGAATCAACTCAATACCCGATCGGGTATTGCCTATACCCGACCGGGTATATGAAATATTTTCTCAATCTTCTTTTTATCTTGTCCCCTTGCACCTTCCTTGATCTTTTGGGGTCCAATCTTGATCCTTTGGATGATCTTGACCTGTTTTAAGCTCAGAATAATCTTAATCTAAACAAATTACATTTATATAGGAAAATAAACTAATTACACCAAAAGTGTGTAATTTTCCGAACAACAAAAAATAAAACTAGTTGAAATAGAAATATTACATAATAAAAATACAACTCTATCATACGTGGGCTTATTCGCCCCTTTTCCCTTCATTCTCAATCGGAAGTTAAGGTAGAAATTAAATTTCCAGTTTATGACATGTATGTGATTTAGATTTGGCCAGATTGCATGTGTTATTTATATGTATATGCAATTTAATGTTTGTAATTCAAAGATTACATACATGTTTTATAGCAACCTTTTGGCAAGTAATTGTCATTTTATTTTCTGACTCAGCATGTATATATTATTAGCATGGGTATGATATGTTCTGAGCATGAGTATCTTATTCAAATCTGAGCATGATCATGTTATATTTTTTTGTTAAGTGGAGCATGCTTGTATTGTTAAGTTGAGCATGTTTTGTTTCTGTAAAATTTATGTGCCTTCTTCTTATGTTAATTTGAGAAAATGGGTCTGTTTTACATTTGTACTAATATTATATTTTTGTATTTTAGGAGAATAATGCTTCTTGCCTTTGTATTGATACACGGTCAAAGTATATATACAAGAGAGTATGGCAACCCTACGTAACTATATGGCCGCAGCCCATAACTTACATGTAAAGCCAAATACAATGATTAAATACATTAGTTAAGCCCAAAACTGCCTATGTTTCCAACACCCCCCCCCCCCCCCCTCATAAATGCCCAACTTGTGAAGAAGAAAAAGAAACTGCCGCTTGCCCAGAGCTTTGGTAAAGATATCAGCGAGTTGATCGGTAGTCGAAACATGGTGTGTGGTGATCAATCCCTCTCGAAGAGCATCGCGAACATAGTGACAATCAACTTCGATATGCTTCGTACGTTTGTGAAATACGGGGTTTTGTGCAATATAGAGTGCGGATTTGCTGTCACAAAACATAGGCATAGCCTGAGAGTGTTTCACACCGAGACTAAGAAGAAGACTTTTAAGCCATTTCAATTCGGCTGTAAGAGCTGCCATAGAACGATATTCTGCTTCTGCAGATGATCGAGACACCGTGTGCTGTTTCTTGGTTTTCCAAGAAACAGGAGAACCACCCAAAAATACAACCCAGCCAGTTAGAGACCGCCGAGTGAGAGGACAACTGGCCCAATCAGAATCACACCATCCTGTCAAGAGCAAATTACAAGATGAGCTGAGAAGAATACCTTGACCCGGAGTGCCTTTCAAGTAACGCACCACTCTTAAAGCGGCATCCCAATGTTGTTGCCGCGGAGCATGCATGAATTGAGAAAGGATATGTACTGCATAGGCAAGGTCCGGGCGCGTAAATGAAAGATATATCAGCTTGCCAACAAGCCTCCTATAAGCCTCGGGTTCAGTGAGAAGTGGCCCATCGGCCTGAGCGAGCGTATGATTTTGTTCAATTGGAAAACCAGCCGGTTTGGCACCAAGTAACCCGGTCTCGGTAATAATATCCAGAGCATATTTTCGTTGACAAAGAAAAATTCCGTTTGGATGGCGCGCCACTTCGATGCCAAGGAAATATTTAAGGGTACCCAAGTCCTTCATATGAAAACACGTGCTCAAATAATGCTTGAATTTATGCAGGACAGTGGAATCATTACCAGCAATAATCAGATCATCCACATAGACAAGCACATGCAAACATTTATTCTCACTTTGATAGGTAAACAAAGAATAATCCGAATATGACTGAGTGAACCCATAATGCTGTAGAGAAGCAGCTAATTTTGCAAACCAACAGCGGGGTGCCTGTCGCAGTCCGTATAAAGATTTTTTCAAGCGGCAGACAACCCCACGCTGAGATGGAGAGAAGCCAGGGGGAAGCTTCATATAAACTTCCTCATCCAAATCGCCATGAAGAAATGCATTGTGAACATCCATCTGATGAAGTTCCCAATTTTTAGCTGCCGCTACTGCTAGAAAAGTTTGGACTGTAACCATTTTGACCACAGGAGCAAATGTTTCAGTATAATCAATTCCCTCTTCTTGATGATTACCAAAAACAACCAGACGAGCCTTGAGTCGCTCCACCGTACCATCAGGGAGATATTTAATTTTATAGACCCATTTACAGCCAAGAGCCTTTTTACCGGGAGGCAAGCGCTCTAAGACCCAAGTCTGATTGTCTTCAAGGGCACGTATTTCACGTTGCATGGCTTGTCGCCATCCTTCATCTGTCATGGCTTCTTTAAAAGACCTTGGTTCAAGAACTGCAAGAACAGCTCCGAGAAACGCCCGATGACGGGAAGATAATTTATCACAATTCAAATAATGTGCTATGGGATAAGACATACCTGAGGGACCCGATGAAGCGGAGAACGACGGGGATGGGGTTTGCGTCCGAACGTGCGTAATAAAATCTCGTAGAAGTACTGAAGCTCGTTTGACTCGCTGACCACGTCCAAGCAAACCTCCTGCATTAGGCGTGGAGGCCTCGGTAAGAGCTGAAGTGGTGTCATGAGGTGGCGAAATAGATGGAGCAGTTTCATGTTGGCCATGCGAAGTGTATATATCATCATTCATATCAACAGTATCATGCAAATCACCCTGCAACGCATCATCATCATCAAGAGCTACTTGTGTGGTAACCGGCTCATCTCTGGAAGTGTGAACCTCATGTGGTACGTCCAAATCAGTTTGTACCAAATTAGTAACCAAAAATGGAAATTCATTTTCGTGAAACTTGACATCACGAGAAACGAATATATCACCGGTCTCCATATCATATACCTTCCACCCTTTCTGTCCGTGAGGATATCCCACAAATGCACACCTCCTGTCACGCCCCGGACCTCCCCGGACACGTCAACAACCCGCCGTACAATACGAATAGTCAACCGCAGTCCAACACATTCATATTATACAAGGCGTCATGAATATCATTCACACACAAGTCATCCATAAACAACATAATAAGTAATTCATAAAGCAGCGGAAAACATTGTTTAAAACAAAGGGCCACACAGGGCTATTCATGAGCACGCAAGCTCTATAATAAAATATCCATGAGCATGTTTATTAATGTTTAAAATCCGAATGGAGGAAGCACGAACCAAGTCTTCGCTCCTAGATGATCTCTCGAGCAACGAGCACAGGAAGCAAGCTCTAGCCTCAACCTGAAAAATGGTGGTGGGACGCCCCCGAAGGGGTCAGCACTCTATAGGGCTATAAAGTGCTGGTGTGGCAGGCATCTAATAGATATACAACAAGTATTTCAAACACAAGACCCTCAAATAGGGTGATAGTATATTATGATTGTAACCCTAAGTTACCCCGTTTAAAAATATACTTACTTTATATAAAAGTCAAGTAGCCGGCCCGTGGGCCCATGTTCATTTGGAAATCATCATTCCCAACCCCGTGACTATAAGCCACGACAACTCCTAGAGTCCAACCCTAGTACATGACATTGTATTCTAGAGCTCGGCTCTACCACATCACCATACAATTCATATACCTCGGGTCAATTTCCCTACCTTGCGTTCTAGAGCTCGGCTCTATCACATCACCACGCAAGTCCTAGAGCTCGGCTCTAGCTATACAATACATAGACTCCAAGTCTACACCTTACATGCATTCTAGAGCTCGGCTCTATCACATCACCATGCATTAAGGTCCAATTCTCAAGCAACCCTATGCCTAGAATTGACATATCATTAAACTACCATGGGTCATCCTTAAAGACTCCCCATAACTTAACCTTAGTTCCATACTAAGTTATCATATACACTTGAACTACATTCAAGTACCTTTCATACAATCCAATCCCTAGGATCAATTTAATCAACAAGTTCCAATAATCACTAACTAGTATTCCAATACTATTAAGATTATTGTTATCGTACCATTATCCTCATTGTTTGTAATTCTCTACATATTTATAATTATGTAGCAGCAACTTAAGTATTCAATCTCAATACACAAATATTCATTTATGTAACCACATGATTCATACATGAGCAAAATGCCCATTTTCACAAAATAGTTCATTTATACTCATTTAATCTCATATTATTCATACTTTCTCAAATCATTCCAAATTCATTCTTTGGCAACTATATCAATATTTCATCAATATATAGTCATCATAATCCATGAAAAATCATGATTTAAGCATTTAGGTAATCTCATGCTTAACCTACAAGTTGTAAGCAATTAGATGTCAATCCTCACCTCAATTGAGCTTTAAACTTTCCCTTCTTGGTCCAATGGTCAAAGCTTTGGTCAAGGTGGATTTGGAACTGATTCCTTGCTTGGAATGGAGTGTTAAACAGCCCCTTCAAAGTGCTAGTTCAACTCCTAACCGAAAATGCAAAAACAGTCCCTAGAACGGGTGTTTCCCGACGAATTCGTTCCCTAACCTTTCAAGGTTTTGTCTAGGTTAGTATCTAACCTTTCCAACAATTAAAGTCACATAATAATAACATTTTATACACTTCAATCAGTGTATAATAGTTCTTCAATCATTTATATGATTTAGACAATAGAGAGGAAGGTTTTGGATTCAAACTTACTTTGAATACAAAAACGTATTCTGCGAGGTCGTGTTTTGATCGGTCGATTTGGAGGCCTTACACTACTCCGATTTATGCAAACCAGACCTTCACGGATTCCTCGTCTTGAGAGCTTTCTTTTGGTATATCATACGCCTTATTTGGACGAGTGAAGCTCAAGTTATGGATCAAACAAGTAGCCCTATTTTCTGGAAAACGAGTCCTGCGGCCAGCTTCTCTCTTCACCTCTCCCTTGGAGTATGTGGCTCTCTCTTTCTCTCTTATCTTGGGAGTTCGAATGGGGTGTAGGGGGAGTGTATTAGGAGGCCTCAATCATGCTAAGAGAGCATGTGGTTCACCAAAAAGAAGGGTAGGGTATTTGATTGCAATCAAACATGGTGTGGACCTCCTCTTTTATTTCCTTTTTGTAATGTTGTAGTTCATGAGTCAAAAGTCCGCCCCACATCTTTGTCTCACCCATTTTCCTTTGTTTTGCAGGTACCAAGGTCATGTGGGATGGTTCCCAAATGGTCCCATTCAATTTGGGGTCCAAAATGTCTATCAATACTTCCAAAAAATGGGAAGATGGGTCCTATTGTTTTATCTTTGTCAAAGATGTCTTTTTGTACTCATCCTAATTTATTTAGAACAAGTCAACTTCCTAAATCACATTATTGACCTCCAATATGTGTAGGCTCATCCCAATAATTTACTTGATGGATGTTATAGAAGGAAAATCCTACTCCCATTATTTAGCTCAAAAATGCCAAAGATGGGGTTATAGGCATTTGTATTCTTCTTTAATCCTTCGATCACTTATATAGATAATGTTGGGCTCTTTTATTTATTAATAAGTCCCGAGTAAGTATTTGCGAAACCCGACACTAATGTACGAGTTTGAACAGTACGATATTCAACCATGCACTACGTAGAACATTGATCGTTTTACAAAATGTTTGGGAATCAGAAATCCAATACATAAGCTTTGAATATTCAAATCAAATTTTCAAGGACCTTCGGGAGCGGTGTCACAAGTTCACCCCCCCTTAACAGGAATTTCGTCCCCGAAATTCACAGCTTTACTCAAATAGGAATGCATACTGCTTCCTCATCAAGGCTTCTGTTTCCCAAGTCTCTTCTTCGACCCGGTCACTCTTCCAAAGGACTTTAACCATTGGAACTTCTTTACTCCTCAGTTTCTTCACTTTTCTGTCAATAACTCTTACCGGTTGCACGGCATAGTTCAAATCTTCACGTACCTCCACGGGCGGCTTCTCCAACACATGAGAAGGATCATGCACATACTTCTTAAGCATGGACACGTGAAATACATTATGAATCTTCTCCAACTCAGGAGTCAACTGTAGACGATATGCTACGGCCCCAACCCTCTCTATAATTCTGAATGGGCCTATATATCGTGGGTTAAGCTTTCCTCGGGTTTGGAATCGAATGATTCCTTTCCAAGGAGAAACTTTCAGGAATACCTCGTCGTCAACCTTAAACTCTAAGGTCCTTCGACGCTTATCCGCATAACTCTTTTGCCTATCCTGAGCCGCCTTGAGTCTCTCTCGAATCAACTTCACCTTTGACTTGGTGACCTCAACCAACTCAGTACCCTCGAGTTTGGCCATGCCAACCTCATCCCAGCATAATGGTGTACGGCATCTCCTCCCATACAATGCCTCGTATGGAGGCATGCCGATGCTTGCCTGATAACTGTTGTTATAGGCAAACTCCACAAGTGCTAAGTGGTTGTCCCAACTTCCTTGGAACTCTAATGCGCAAGCCCTCAGCATGTCTTCTAAGATCTGTATGACTCTTTCAGACTGCCCGTCTGTCTGTGGGTGGAAAGCAGTACTGAACTTCAACCTCGTTCCCATAGACTCCTGAAATTTCGGCCAAAAACGTGATGTGAATCGTGGGTCTCTATCGGATACAATGGTCACTGGAACCCCATGTAGCCTCACGATCTCATCCGTGTACAATTTGGCTAACCTCTCGAGTGGGTAAGTAGTGTTGATAGGTAAGAAGTGTGCACTCTTTGTGAGCCTATCTACAACAACCCAAACTGCATCATAGTTCCTGATCGTCCGTGGCAACCCTACCACAAAATCCATAGTCACGTGTTCCCACTTCCATTCAGGAATGGAAAGTGGTTGCAATAAGCCCGCTGGATGCTGATGCTCTGCCTTAACTTGTTGACAAGTAAGGCATCGACTGATATATTCGGCTATTTCTCTCTTCATACCTGACCACCAGTAACTCTCCTTCAGGTCACGGTACATCTTCGTGCCCCCCGGGTGCATGGCATAAGCCGATGAATGAGCTTCCTCTAAGATGGACTTTCGGAGCTCGTCATCTGCCGGTACACACACTCGGTCACGAAATAATAAGAGACCGTCATCTCTTTCTCGGAAGTCCTCCACCGGTCCCGCTTGCATGCGTTCCCGGATCTTCATAATTTCTTCGTCGGTTTCCTGACCCTTCTTGATCTCATCAAGTAAAGTGGGTCTCACCTCAAATCGTGCCAATAAGGCACCATCGCTGGATACCTCCAGTTGGGCTCTTAATGCCCTCAAATTAGCTAGCAATGGCCCAGACGAGCTTTTCCGGCTCAAAGCATCTGCCACCACGTTAGCCTTGCCTGGGTGATACTCTATCACCAGATGGTAGTCTTTTATCAACTCCATCCACCGTCTCTGTCTCATGTTTAGCTCTTTCTGAGTAAACACGTATTTCAAGCTCTTATGATCGGTATATATGTGACATGTCTCTCCGTAGAGATAATGTCTCCAAATCTTCAGTGCAAACACCACCGCTCCCAGCTCCAAATCATGGGTAGGATAATTTACCTCATGCTTCTTCAACTGTCGTGAAGCATAGGCAATTACCCTCCCTTCCTGCATCAGTACACACCCAAACCCTTGGATGCTCGCGTCACTATAGACATCGTACCCCACACCCTGTTTGGGTAATGCAAGTACCGGTGCCTCGGTCAACCGTTTCTTTAGTTCCATGAACCCCTTCTCACATTTGTCATCCCATACAAACTTAGCTCCTTTACGAGTGAGCTTCGTCAATGGTGATGCCAAAACAGAGAACTTCTCCACGAACTTCCTGTAGTAGCCTGCCAATCCAAGGAAACTACGAATTTCCTTAACGTTCTTTGGCCTCTCCCACTCGGTAATGGCTTCTATCTTCTTGTTATCAACAGCAATTCCCGATCCAGAAACCACGTGCCCGAGAAAGCCAATCTCCTTAAGCCAAAATTCACATTTAGAAAATTTGGCATAGAGTTGCTTCTCCCGTAGTGTCTCAAGAACAAGTATCAAGTGCTCCTCATGCTCTTCCTCACTCTTTGAGTAGATCAAGATGTCATCAATGAACACAATCACGAATCGGTCCAAGTATTTGTGAAATACTCGGTTCATTAAGTCCATGAATGCCGCCGGGGCATTTGTTAACCCAAACGACATAACAAGGAACTCAAAATGCCCATATCTCGTGCGGAAAGCACTCTTCGGTATGTCATCCTCCTTAATCTTCAATTGATGGTACCCCGACCTCAAGTCAATCTTTGAAAACACGGTTGCTCCTCGTAGTTGATCAAACAAGTCATCAATCCTAGGCAAGGGATACCTATTCTTGATTGTGACCTTGTTCAGTTGACGATAGTCAATGCACATTCGAAGTGTTCCATCCTTCTTTTTCACAAAAAGGACCGGTGCCCCCCATGGGGAGTGGCTTGGTCTGATGAAACCGTTATCCAAAAGCTCTTGCAATTGGGTTTTTAACTCGTTAAGTTCAGCGGGTGCCATACGGTATGGCGGTATGGAGATTGGTTTGGTACCAGGCTCGACCTCGATCACAAATTCAATCTCCCTATCAGGTGGAAGCCCCGGTAGGTCTTTAGGGAAGACATCCGGGTACTTACAAACCACCCTCACGTCGTCAATGTTCGTTTCCTCCTTGGTTTTGTCAACCACGTATGCTAGATATGCGTGACATCCCTTTCTCATCATACTTCTCGCTCTCACGGCGGAAATAATACAACTGTTTGATTTGCCTCGATCCCCCTCGAAGCGTAGGGTGTCCCCATTATTGCCTTCGAGTTCCAAAACCTTTGTGTAGCAATCTACCCTAGCATGATGCTTTTCTAGCCAATCCATCCCTAGGATTGCATCGAACTCCATCATACTCAGCGGTACGAAATCACACGTCAAGGTTTGGCCATCAATTTCCACCTCACAAGATGGATAATAACTAGTTCTTTCGACATCATCCCCTAGTGGTGTTGATACCACTAATGTGTGCGTCATTGGTGTTGATTGTACCCCTAAGTCCTCGGCGAACGCCTCACTCACGAACGAACGTTGCGCTCCGGTATCGATAAGGATTCGTGCATCCTTCCCATTAATCTTTAATGTTCCTACATTTATACACCATGTAAGATACCTTTTCTAATGGTTTAGGACACTTTTTGGAGGTTAATAGGTTCATATAGATGTTCGGAATCAAACGGGGGTCCAATCGTAGAAGAACGAGAGGAAAAACTTAGGTTTCGGGCGGCTGGGGTCCACGCACGGTCGTGCGTGGGACACGCACGGTCGTGCGTGCGTGAAGAAACGTCGAATCCGACCACTGCCGGTTACGCACGATCGTGCGTACCCGGCCACGCACGATCGTGCGTCCACGCACGGCGTGCGTACCGGCACGCACGGTCGTGCGTCCTGCGCGAAATTCACCTGGAACCACTGTCCCCTACGCACGATCGTGCGTGGGGTTGGACGCACGATCGTGCGTCCCTGTTTTTGGTCAGTTTTGGCCCGAATTTCGCCGTTTGACCCCGAAATGGCTCGCACTCAATCCCTATGACTTATGTCATCAATTTATGGATTAAATATGGACAAAATACAATTGTGCAAGAGGCAATACCTGCAACCGAGTCCGGGTTAGCTCGAGCATCCGCCTCCGTCATCGCATAAACTCTAGCTTGAGTTCTTCCTTGATTCACGGATGGCGCGTTGCTCGTACTCGCTCCCCCATGTCCCCGGCTCGCTTGAGAAGCTCCGGTTTGATTCCGTGTACCCGTCGGACCGCTACTCGGTCCCGATGTCCTTGCCCCACTCAATTGTGGGCAATGTGCCTTCAAATGCCCGGCATCCCCGCATTGAAAACATCTAGGGGGGTCGCGACATTTACCGGAGTGGTTCTTCTTGCAATTGTTGCAACGAGCTACCACTGAGGTTTGTGACCTCGCGCCTTGCCCACTCGGGCCTTGGTTCCCCCTATATGGTGGCGGTGGTGCCCGGAAAGATCCTCCTCCGTGGTTCCCCTTTTTGTTGGAACCTTGGGAGCCATGACTCTCCCACTTTCTCTTTTTCGCCTCCTCGGCGTCTCTCTTCTTCCTTTCTTCCCATTGCTTCTCTCCTTTCAACCCTTGGTCAACCACTTGGGCAAACGTCATGTTAGGCAATTGTGTTGCCCTGTCACGTATCTCCAAGTCTAGAGCATCCCAGAAGTGGTTCACCATCCGGTTCTCGTCACAAGCATACTCAGGTATGTAATCGGCAAGATCCCTGAACTTGTACTCAAGTTCCCTCACCGTCATGTTACCCCCTTGGGTTAGAAGGGTGTATTCCCTCACTTTCTTGTTCACCTCAAAATCCGAGTAATATTGGGCAAAGAATTCCTGTCGGAAATTCTCCCAAGTGACGGTCTCGCCATATTTGCCTTTGGTCCCATCCCACCACTTGGATGCCATACCTTCAAGCAATCTCACCGCAACCCTTAGTTTATATTCGGGGGTGAGTTGCATGTCCAGGGCTGCCTCATTCAGCCGCTTAATCCATTGTGCCGAAACGGAGATGTCACCCGTCCCATCGAACGGTTTGCACCCCAAGTCTCGTGCCTCTTTGATGTATTTGGAGATCCTTATGATTGGACCTCCATCACCCCGACCCCCATGTGGTTCAATGTGGGCCCTAGAGTCGCCATGGCTTCTCCCTCTTGAAGCCCCGCCCGAAGGTTGCCCAGCCCGGCGCCTTCGGCGTTCCCTCCTCTCCTCACGCTCACGGTGGTACTGTTGAAGTAGTGCTTCAATCCGTGCTAAGGAGCCATTTTCCTCCTCATCACTTACATCATCATCATCCCCTTCATAAGGGGTCTCAACCGGTTCAGTTTCCGGTCGATAGGTCGAGTCCTCATAGGACCAGTAGGTTTCACTTTCCGTGTCGACATGACCGTCACTCACGGTCTGTGATTGGCCTCCACGGCCAGCTCCTCTAGATGCCCTAGAGGTCCTTCGACTGCCCTGTCCAGTCTCCACTGGTACACGACCCGTCGGGTTTCTCCTAGTAATCCTGCCACCACGGTCCATTTCTGAAAGAAATTTGGAAGGAGTCGTTAGACTCGTATCAAATGTCAATTGACGGATAGGTACTTAAGACACATTTTGGCTCGAGTCACCGCCATACCAATTGCTAAGGGTACCATCTTAACAATTAGAGACCTTGCAACCCAAGTACCAAAAGCTCTCCAAGTACAAAACTTCTATGCTCATGGTTTTCAAAATCTTTTCAAAAAAAGAATTTTGAGACTTCATTATGAAGTTTATGGACTAAGGCTCTGATACCAACTTAATTGTCACGCCCCGGACCTCCCCGGACACGTCAACAACCCGCCGTACAATACGAATAGTCAACCGCAGTCCAACACATTCATATTATACAAGGCGTCATGAATATCATTCACACACAAGTCATCCATAAACAACATAATAAGTAATTCATAAAGCAGCGGAAAACATTGTTTAAAACAAAGGGCCACACAGGGCTATTCATGAGCACGCAAGCTCTATAATAAAATATCCATGAGCATGTTTATTAATGTTTAAAATCCGAATGGAGGAAGCACGAACCAAGTCTTCGCTCCTAGATGATCTCTCGAGCAACGAGCACAGGAAGCAAGCTCTAGCCTCAACCTGAAAAATGGTGGTGGGACGCCCCCGAAGGGGTCAGCACTCTATAGGGCTATAAAGTGCTGGTGTGGCAGGCATCTAATAGATATACAACAAGTATTTCAAACACAAGACCCTCAAATAGGGTGATAGTATATTATGATTGTAACCCTAAGTTACCCCGTTTAAAAATATACTTACTTTATATAAAAGTCAAGTAGCCGGCCCGTGGGCCCATGTTCATTTGGAAATCATCATTCCCAACCCCGTGACTATAAGCCACGACAACTCCTAGAGTCCAACCCTAGTACATGACATTGTATTCTAGAGCTCGGCTCTACCACATCACCATACAATTCATATACCTCGGGTCAATTTCCCTACCTTGCGTTCTAGAGCTCGGCTCTATCACATCACCACGCAAGTCCTAGAGCTCGGCTCTAGCTATACAATACATAGACTCCAAGTCTACACCTTACATGCATTCTAGAGCTCGGCTCTATCACATCACCATGCATTAAGGTCCAATTCTCAAGCAACCCTATGCCTAGAATTGACATATCATTAAACTACCATGGGTCATCCTTAAAGACTCCCCATAACTTAACCTTAGTTCCATACTAAGTTATCATATACACTTGAACTACATTCAAGTACCTTTCATACAATCCAATCCCTAGGATCAATTTAATCAACAAGTTCCAATAATCACTAACTAGTATTCCAATACTATTAAGATTATTGTTATCGTACCATTATCCTCATTGTTTGTAATTCTCTACATATTTATAATTATGTAGCAGCAACTTAAGTATTCAATCTCAATACACAAATATTCATTTATGTAACCACATGATTCATACATGAGCAAAATGCCCATTTTCACAAAATAGTTCATTTATACTCATTTAATCTCATATTATTCATACTTTCTCAAATCATTCCAAATTCATTCTTTGGCAACTATATCAATATTTCATCAATATATAGTCATCATAATCCATGAAAAATCATGATTTAAGCATTTAGGTAATCTCATGCTTAACCTACAAGTTGTAAGCAATTAGATGTCAATCCTCACCTCAATTGAGCTTTAAACTTTCCCTTCTTGGTCCAATGGTCAAAGCTTTGGTCAAGGTGGATTTGGAACTGATTCCTTGCTTGGAATGGAGTGTTAAACAGCCCCTTCAAAGTGCTAGTTCAACTCCTAACCGAAAATGCAAAAACAGTCCCTAGAACGGGTGTTTCCCGACGAATTCGTTCCCTAACCTTTCAAGGTTTTGTCTAGGTTAGTATCTAACCTTTCCAACAATTAAAGTCACATAATAATAACATTTTATACACTTCAATCAGTGTATAATAGTTCTTCAATCATTTATATGATTTAGACAATAGAGAGGAAGGTTTTGGATTCAAACTTACTTTGAATACAAAAACGTATTCTGCGAGGTCGTGTTTTGATCGGTCGATTTGGAGGCCTTACACTACTCCGATTTATGCAAACCAGACCTTCACGGATTCCTCGTCTTGAGAGCTTTCTTTTGGTATATCATACGCCTTATTTGGACGAGTGAAGCTCAAGTTATGGATCAAACAAGTAGCCCTATTTTCTGGAAAACGAGTCCTGCGGCCAGCTTCTCTCTTCACCTCTCCCTTGGAGTATGTGGCTCTCTCTTTCTCTCTTATCTTGGGAGTTCGAATGGGGTGTAGGGGGAGTGTATTAGGAGGCCTCAATCATGCTAAGAGAGCATGTGGTTCACCAAAAAGAAGGGTAGGGTATTTGATTGCAATCAAACATGGTGTGGACCTCCTCTTTTATTTCCTTTTTGTAATGTTGTAGTTCATGAGTCAAAAGTCCGCCCCACATCTTTGTCTCACCCATTTTCCTTTGTTTTGCAGGTACCAAGGTCATGTGGGATGGTTCCCAAATGGTCCCATTCAATTTGGGGTCCAAAATGTCTATCAATACTTCCAAAAAATGGGAAGATGGGTCCTATTGTTTTATCTTTGTCAAAGATGTCTTTTTGTACTCATCCTAATTTATTTAGAACAAGTCAACTTCCTAAATCACATTATTGACCTCCAATATGTGTAGGCTCATCCCAATAATTTACTTGATGGATGTTATAGAAGGAAAATCCTACTCCCATTATTTAGCTCAAAAATGCCAAAGATGGGGTTATAGGCATTTGTATTCTTCTTTAATCCTTCGATCACTTATATAGATAATGTTGGGCTCTTTTATTTATTAATAAGTCCCGAGTAAGTATTTGCGAAACCCGACACTAATGTACGAGTTTGAACAGTACGATATTCAACCATGCACTACGTAGAACATTGATCGTTTTACAAAATGTTTGGGAATCAGAAATCCAATACATAAGCTTTGAATATTCAAATCAAATTTTCAAGGACCTTCGGGAGCGGTGTCACACCTCCTGCTTCGGGGAAGAAATTTATCACCCCTTGATTTCCTGTTATGAGCAAAACATAAGCATCCAAACACCCTTAGAGGGCTGAGGTCGGGAACTCGTCCAGTTAACACTTCGAAAGGTGTTTTCCCCCCAAGCACTCCGGAAGGAGTGCGGTTAATTAAATAGACTGCAGATAAAACACACTCCCCCCACAGAAATATAGGAATATGAGCTTGAAACATTAAAGCCCGAGCAACATTTAAAATGTGTCGGTGCTTACGTTCAACCCGTCCATTTTGTTGTGGCGTGTCCACACAAGAAGATTGAAACAAAATACCATGATCACTGAAATATGGAAGCAGGCATTTAAATTCTGTCCCGTTATCACTTCTCACAATTTTCACCGATGTATTAAATTGCGTCCCAATCATAGCAAAATAAGAAAGAAAATATTTGTACACTTCCTTCTTGTCACGCAACAAATACACCCAAACAGCTCTAGAGTGATCATCCGCAATGGTTAAGAAGTAAATAGCATCACAAGTGGATGGAGTTTTGTAAGGACCCCATAAATCACAATGAATTAACTCAAAAATATGACTTGCTTTATTATCACTAACGGGAAAAGAATCACGCACTTGTTTGGCTTGTGGACAGATCACACAAGTCTTATTCAAAGATTTTTTAAAGCTACTAGAACTAATTGCAGGTAATAATTTTAGGACCCGGTCTGATGGATGACCCAACCGCCGATGCCATAACTCAAACTCCGTCACACCAGGAACTTGCACAGCATGTATCGCAGGCACACGTCGGAAATAAAACAACCCATCCCGTCTCTCACCGGCTCCAATCAGGCTCCTCGAGGGTAGGTCCTGTATATCACACAAAGAATTAGTGAAAGTAACAATGCATGCCAATTGATCAGTTAATTGAGAAACCGAAATAAGGTTGCAGCTCAATTTTGGAACATAAAGAACATGGCAAAGAACCAGATCCTTAGAGAGCAATATTCGGCCTTCCAAAGTAGCAGTCA